TTTTGGTTTCAGTCACTACCACTTATAGTTTCTATGCTAAATATACAGTCACAGATTAGCTAGTTACTACCATCCATTTTTTTTAGAATTTACATACCTTATTATTCCCTGCAGAAATCTTCATTGGTAAATCTGCATTAACAACATATCATTAGATCATCAGCAAAAATTATCATAACAGTAGAAAACTTAACAAAACCTCTTACCATGGAAAACCAACCTAGAAGAAACCCCCTTTCTGGACCTACAGTAAACATGGCCAACTTAGTTATTCCACCTTGGAGAGGAAAAATCTTACCCCCTCAACTACCCCCTCACCAGTACTATAACCCTGGAACCACATTTTACCAACCTCCTCCTGCCCATACTCCAGCCTTTAACCCTGGACCATTGAGACATCCCCAACCCCCAGAAAGTGATGACTTGGAACCCTTGGAAATTCAAGAACCCCTTTACCACCACAGGACAGAAAGTCAGGATACAGAACCACCAGGACCAGTAAAGAATACTCCAACTCAGCCAACTCACTCTCTGGAACCCAAGAAACCTACCCCCATCCACTTTCTGGAAAGAACAGAAAAATGGAGCATTATCTACAGACCCAAAGATGAAATGCACTTCACCAAGGAAGAATATGCTAGAAAGGATTTGCAATGCTTGGTCAGCTCCACTATAGAGAAGGGAGGAATCAAAAATCTAGAAGAACTCAGACTATTCAGAATCCAATTTGAAGCAATCACCCACTACCTCATCAGAAATGGGCACAATTCCCACATGGAAGAATTTTCAAACTAACTTTGGAAATCCCTAAGCCCAAAGTTGGAAAGAGTAATATCTGATCCACTTATCTGGGATGGTCACTTGGTTCTGGATGGAAATTTTCACATTGCAGAAATACCACCCTATACTGTAGTTCTGGAATATATTGATATGGAGTTTAAACAAATGTATAATCCTCAAGAAGCACCTGATCAACCTGCACCAGAAATTGGACAAACAGATCAGAATTTCCATACAGTAGCCCACATGGAAGAATGTAACTCAGGAATCCAGTCACCACTTATGCAAAATCTCCCTCCAGCACTTTCTTCAACCTTGGATGCCTTCCCCCTGACTTTAGAAAATGGCCAATCCCTGGAAACCTTGGACCCCTTGGACAACACAGAGACAAAAAAATTTGGATCAGAAACAGAGGTCATTTCAGCAAAAATTCCCTCAGAAATATCCTTACCATGTGCCATGCTTGAAGAAATTTGCTCCCCAGGAGTACCTGTAACCTTGGAATTTCCCCCCCAGATCCTTGAAATTTGCAAGGAGTTGAACCCCTTGGATAGAAATCAATCAGTATATCTTGGATCAGAGAGTGTAACATGTACAGAAAATATAGATAACTTACCAGTAGGACCAGTCAAATTGGAATCTTCCCCTCAGCTTATTGCTAATGACCAACCACTGGAAACTCTGGATCCCTGGAGCAATACTGAAACAGAATACCTTGGCTTAGCAAGTGAAATTTTTGCAGAACCCATTTTCCCAGAAGAGAATTTACTAGTATTCCAAGTTGAAGAGACCCCAGTTAATCCTATCCCTGAATTGCAAAGCTCTCTGACAATCCTGGTGGAAGATAAAAATGAGGAAAAATTTAGTCAGAATATAAAAACAGAGGATGTGGCAGCCTTGGATACAGTACAGTCAATTCAGTCCCCCACAATATATCCTACAGAAGTTTTACCTGAAGGAATTGGAACCCCAGAGGAAACCATTTCAAATATTGCACCCAACTTATCTCTGGAAATTGATTCTATTCCCCATTCAAAACTGATTTCCATGCAGACCCATTTTGCAGAACCTCTCTGGAAAGATGCCAAAGCAGAAATTTTCTATCAGGAACCAGTTTTCATTGCTTCAAGTCAGGTATTTGATCCTCATAGAAACCTTATAAACATATTAGAAGTCTACAACAAAGAAAAAGACCCTGGGAAAACAACAGAAACAATTTTTCAATCAGCCTCCATCAAAATAATTCTTCCAGAAAATGGTTCTCCAAAAAATCACCAAGTACCTCCCCACCAACAGAAATTGCCACCCTTTAATCCCCCTGATACCAGCCACCCTTCTTTCAAGCCTCCTCTTACCACCTCTGAAAGTATTGGAAATAAAAAGCCTGAAAATTCCAGAAATATAAGGATCAAAGAAATCAGCATGAAGAAGAACTCCAAATCTGTGTTTTTAGAAAGTCCCTCACTAGAATTCAGCAAACATGGCTTACAGTTCACATTGTTCCTTTGGATGAAGCATTCAAATCTTCAGTTTCTTCACACCCCAGTTGGCCAGAATCTATCTAAAGTGAGAAAGAAAAGGAAGAAAAAAATTAGCTTAAGAGGATATAAAAAAATTCTTACAGTGTCAGAAAACCACTTAGTACAAAACATTACTAACAAGAAGTACTGGACTATAACCGCTGGAGCGCCCACTTTTGCTTCGCTGGTTAATGGTTTTAATCAGAAAATTAAGAACAAGACAAAACAAAGATGGAGTAGCTATGAGGTTGTTCTTCCTATCAGAATAGCAGGATATACACTATCGATCCACTCTGATTTGACCAAACTATGTACTACAGGTGTTGAAGCGACCAGATTTTCTTCACTGAGTGTTGCTTGTTTGGTTTGGAATGCTGGCAAAAAGCGGAAGAAGAGGTTGGTCAGCAATCGTTTGCGCTGGATGTATCAAAGAAGCAAGAAAAGGAAGGGATCGATCTTGCAAAATTACATGTTGAACCATCTTGATTCCGATCAGGCTTTCGCGAGCAAGACAATAGCTTCAGTATGTTTAGATCGCTGGAATGATAAAGGGAGTAAAATAGTGCATGAACGATTGGTTTCTCCGACAGACAGCTATAAAAGGAGATGGGGTGAAGTGATAAAATTGAAACTTGCTGGAGTCTTGAAGCGTTCAGAGACAAAAGGAAGAGAGATTAACATGGACCGATCAGCTTCACCAGCTAGCAACTTGCTGATAATGATTAGGAGAGGTCGGTGTTGTGTAGCGCAGAAAGCAAACATCAAACCGTACACAAAACGGCTCGCTGGATTGTTCAACCCAGGGATCAGCCAAGCTTTAGATTCTGCTGAACAGAAGAATTCAATGAGTTTGAAATTGTTGGTAGAGTGCAAGCAGGACCTTTTAAATGAGTCCGAAGGCCAACTACACAGGCTTTTGATTGTCTCTATGTACCGGATAATGGACCCAACGATATCACAACGGTCCCAATGGAAGAAAAAGAAGAAGAGTCATGACAACATGTTCAATCAATGGCTGCTACACCAGTTTAGAGGAGTCTACCCGTCAAATTTACCTCTATCAATGATAAGAAACAACAAATTGGGTGGATGGTACTCATGGAATTGTTTGGAGGAGGCATCCAACTTGTCTCACCATCTCACCACCCATAGCTACCCCATTATGTGTTGGCCATAGACACTAGGAATCTCAACTAGATGATAGCAAATCAGGTGTTTCAACCTGGAATCACTTTCAATTCTCTTGCAGGTAGCACCTAGTGGCACTAGTGCAGTACACACATCCCCTGGATCTCAAAACAAAACACCAGGAAAATGACTGAAAGATTCTAGCATGAAACACAAAAAAAAAGGGTAATGAAGCATGCTATATGAGTCACCCCCACCCAAAAAAAAAAAAAAAAAAAAAAAAAAAAAAAGAGAAGGATGAGAAGAGATTTTAAAATATTTGCTGAAACACAAGGCTAATCTGACTCAATACTGTTAAATCCTGAATCACCCCTCAAAATTTCAAAATTTGGGGGTGGTTGAAGCCCAGATTTCTTCATTCCTTTCCCAGTTTCATATTCTATTACTTCCAGCATCAGTCAACTACTTTTTTTCCCTGGGCTACATACATGAATACAGATATCAGAACCTCTCATGAGTAATTTATGAAGCAAAATAAACTAAATTAGAAAAAAATTAGTACATAAGATTAAAGTACAAAAATAATTCCTCTACATATATAAACATAGATTTCTATTTTTATGGCACTATTCCTACTCACAGTTTCCTCAGTTATGACCAGTTTATCTGCAGAGGATATATCAAGTTTTTTATCAGGATTGTCTTTCTCTTTTTTTCTCTCTTTTCTTGGATGATGGGGACATCATCTAATTTGGGGGTGGATGTGGTAAGCCAATCCTGAATCTGAAGGCACAGCAAGGCTACATATCATACAAGAATCACAGACTCAAGGCCCCTCAAGAGTTTACCCAGGCCCCCAAACAAAGGTAACACACCAATAACCCTCACAAGTATCCCCCTCATGGATAATAACATCTCCCACACCTTTGAAACCTCTCAGATGAAACCCAAGACCAAATTCCTAGTTCATTATTGATAAGACTTAGCTCACACACCAGCTACACACTAGTAACCCTTCTCAATATAACATCAAACCCTTCTAAAATATATTCCTTATCTCTTATCTCCTTCCATCTTATCCCAAGAATTCCCACACAACAGCCATGTTTCATACTAGCCCTCTTTTGGCCCTTTCTTCCCATTGTCTGTTCAATCCCCATCTGGGTGAAATAATTACCCCCACCTATTCCCCTTGATAATATTATCCAAGCCTCTCTCTGTTTCAGAATGAATTAATTACCTTATCTTAGCTTGGCCCTTTCTTTGGTTTCAGTCTAGTCTTATCTTATCTTAGTGCCACACTAAATTAGGCCACATTGTTCATAGTTACAATTTCCTTCCTTGTTCATTCTTTGTTCCATTTTGTTTCATCCATCTTCCAACCACAAATTGGCCACTCCCCAGAATCTTGTATATAAGGAGCTTTGTCTTTCCTCTTCCTTTGTTCCACATCAGAGCCTGCCCCAGAAATTCAGATAACTGATCACCCACTATTAGCCAGGTATTTGCCCATCAACATTTGGGATACCTTGATTTGTGAACAAGTATATTTAGACTAGTAAACATAAGAAACATTAGACATACCATCCTCAAGAAATCTCCACAGCCACACCTTTTTCCTTAAGAGTCCATACTCTTATATTTTCTTGTTATCAGAGAGGCAGCCCATTAAAGCATTCATCCCTCTCAAGCTCTATTCCTCCCAAGAGTAGTTCCACAGCGCAGGTTCCAAATCCCAGGAAAAAAATTCCTCCTGGACGGATTCCTGTTGGCCTGGGTTCCTGCCTAGGAAGACCCTCCAGGACGGTCATTCCAGGAGCAGGAATCTGCAGGAATCGAGTCCAAAACCCACCCACCCTTGGTTTTAATTTCACCCATGGGTCATATTCTGTAACCCCTACAACCCCCCCACCCGCCCACCGGTATTGCCCCCACCTCGCAACTGAAAAAATTCTACCCGCCCACTAACTTCTTTACCACCCAAACTCACCGCTGCAGCCATGCCACCCAAGAAAAATAAGTCAATAGCTTCTACTCCAAAAAACAAGGGTCTAACTTCTACTCCGTGTCCATCCGAAGGGATGCCATCAAGCACTCAAACCAAAAAGAAGAAAGCCCCAATTGCTTGGGACAAAGACGGTGAAGGAGTTTGTGGTGCGCCATCGTTTGTAGTTGTTGTTGGTCGCAAGCCAGTTGAGGAGGACAGTGATACTGCTGGGGCCACCATCGACCCCATCAGTGTCCCAAGAGGGCGCACGAACAAGCATTAGGATCAATGACGGGTTTTTTTTTGTTGATTTGGCAATGAGGTAGCAATACAATTGAGTGTTCCAAAAATCACCGGCGGGCCACGGCACAAGCAAAGGCAAGTGGGCCACTAGGCAGGCTTGTGGTTAGACAAATATTTTGGGGGGTCCATATATTATATTTGAGGCATTTGGGACCCTGTTTGGCAAGGGACAAAACTTGCACCAAGTATCAGACATTCTCCTGGACTTGGACTTCTGGGGGAAAGTCTGGGGTTTTCATAAGGCGGGGCTTCAAAGTAGAACCCACAGGAGATCCTTTTTGGCAGGGGATTTTTTTTCCTGGAATTTGGACCTGCGCGAGGTCCTGGGGCTATTTTGAAACCCCCTAATGTAAGAATTTGCTTCAGTTGGCAAGCTTGAATAGAAAACCTTTTGTGTGCTGATCTGTCCCCATTTATTACACATTCTGACTGTCTGCCTTTCATGTAAAGCAGCCACATTGTAAGCTTCTTTTTCAATTTCCTGGATTTCATTTTTTTAAAAAAAGAAGTCAGACCTCCAGGGTCTTTTGTCAGGAAATCATGGGTCATAAGAGGAGTGTAGTTTTAACTTTTACTGGCAAATGTGAAAGGAAATGAACAAGTGAATTTGATCAAAAAACAGCATCCATATTTCACAGTAATTATACAGATTTCACGTGTTTTATGCAACAGTCTAAACATGCTCTTCTAGCAGCAAAGGTCTCCGATTCTTCTTGAGAGGTTTCTGATCAACAGATGGATATTGATATTTCGGCATGGTACGAGGATCGTTGCGAACAGGGGTTATATGTTAGACCGAATAATTTCCAACAGAAAGGGGACAGGATAAGTTCAAACTTGAGCTAGGTGTATAAATTCCTGATTTTTCGAAGAAGGAAGAGTACGAACCTTATGGACAACTGAATTGATTTGTGCTTGTCCAATCACTTGGTTCGATTGTTGATGATGGCAATCCTCAGAAAGAATGGTACAACTCGCAGGGTTGTGGGTAGTCTGTTGGGAAGAGATCCTCCGTAGCTGAGTAGATGAAATCAACTTGGTGTGGACGGTGTGTTCTCGATCGAGGCCTGTAGGAGTCCGCGACCTGGCCCGTTTCTTCGAATGGGCTCTTTGGAGGTCGAGGGCATGGTCGATGGAGCCGGGGTCCTGTTGTGTTGAATTCGGACGTACTGCTTGGCTCTTCCTTCTGCTCATCGATCTCCGCGCGGCAAGATGAGAGCTTGGGGCTCTGCCCCTCGGAAGCTCAATCGGCTCGTCGGCCCGTGTTTGTACCTCGTCCTTCGAATGACTCTCACTAGCTTGTGTGGTCGTTGGTTCATGCTCCGCCTCAACTTTGCTGGAGACTTCCTCCGTCTCCTGGTTGCGACTCATTTGGGTATCTTCTGGCCCGATATACATTGGCTGTTTAACTTCATTCTTCTTAGCGTCATCCAAGAGTCTGGGTTCCGAAACGTTGCCCAGGACACCGGAAGAATCTGGCCTCTTAGTTTTGTGTCTTTCTGGCCGCTTGGAGCTTTTTTGAAAACCATTTCCCCAAAAGGAAGACAGCATCAAAAATGGATCGACGGTTGGACTGGAATGAATTTGCATCTGTATCACTGATCAGGAAGTCAGTCAACTCTATATTGCTAACCTAGTCTCGGTTGAATTTCCCTCCCTCCAACGCCCCATGTTGATCGCTGAGGAATGTCTGATGACCGTTTTCTCCGAAATTTCCCCTTGGCCATTATGAGAGTTGTGATGACATGCAAATGACTTTTCGAATTGTTCTTTGGATCTCGAAGACGAACGCAGCTGAGATTCCAGGAAAGCTTGAAGGAGAGGAGCCATGAGAGAGATGGGGCCTAGTGATGAATTCAAGGTATCGAATTCCTGTTCGCACAAGCCCATCAAAACTTCGTCTATAGACTTCTGAAGTAGAGGTCTTTTGCACTGACCTTCTGGATAGCACTCATCCTCTGCAAGTACTCGTTCTTCTCGGCAACCAGACGCGGCTCTAATCCATTAGCTTGAATGGTTAGATAATGGACGTCTTTTTCTAGCTTGGCTAGAAGCAGACCCTGGTTATCTTTACTGTTGTTCTGCTGCTCGACTTGCGAACATACGGCTTCAAGCTGCCGATTGGCTGATGAAAGAGAATCCGTGAACATCTTCAGGGTCGGCTGAAGAGTAAGATTAATCCGGTCGGCGGTTTGCAACGCTTTGTCGGATGATGAGCAACAACAAATTTAGATTCAGCTCGGAGTATTTACCCAGAATGTAACATGTAGATTTTCAAAATCTTCCTTTCTCGCAGACCAAACTACATAGATAAAAATCGCCCTGATAAACGGAGACTCACCTATCTTTTCAGTGTCCGATCTGAATTCGGCGACGGATTGATGAATCTGCTCCTGACCATCACTGAAGATGGATTCAACGGATTCGACTCTTCTGACGAGAGAGTTGAGGTGTTTGACCATCTGATCGAGCTGGGATCAAGCCAAGATTTATCAATCTAAGCTTTCCGGCCTGGAAATTGAGGAATTATGAAGAAAAGAAAGCAGGCGACAAACCTGGGAGGAGTGGGCTTGGACGGTTGTGAGGAGCGAGATCAGATGCTTGTTGAGCCCTCGATCGGCTCCTATCTTTTCTGAGTCGGCGTCCTCAGCAGGAGAGGTGCCCTGGACCCGAGCAGCACTGATCTCTGGGTCTGCTTGGTGTCTGCTTGGATCAGACTGGAGGAAGGCATAGAGTGGATGGTTTGAGTGTGAGTTGGAAGACATTGGGTGGATGGATGGATGGTCAAGAGGAGCTCTCTAATTCGGTCATGAGTCGAGTCCAGTTGGGCTTGCTCATAAATATTCAACTCATTACTGTCCAGTTTAAACACTGCTGTGTAATAATCCCCTCCCCAAAGGCCCGCTAAGCTCTGATTCATCAACCCAGGTTTTGTTTATTCTGGAAGGTGGTCATCCTGCGTCACAGATCAATGGCAGAGGTGGTAGAGGATGTCTTGTTTTTTTTTTTTTTTTGCTGACTTGCCATGATGAAGAAACAAGTCCCAGATAAGGCAACCAAGATCAAGATGTGACTTGGTTTGTAGGGTGCCACAGATGCTATAGTATAGGCACAACAACAGTTGCCCAACCACACCCTAAAACGCAAGTTGACCTCTCCCGGTACTTTTTTTTTTTTTTTTTTTTTTTTTTTTTTTTTAAAGTGCTATTGATTTCACATATCGCACTATCTATCTAACATGTGTTATGGATATACAAAGTATCTTCTAAAACTAGACTGTAACACGTCATGGATCATAGAAAGACGAGGCTTGTAATCATAATGAACTAGTTGGCGTGATTAGAGTAAAGAGAAAGGGAAACAGAAGAGAAGAAAACAGAAAATGAAGAGGAAAGGGAAGAAAACAGGAAAAGAGTATCTAGAAAGAGATTTGAAAACTAGAATTCGCCTAAGTCAAAACATCGATAGGTAAGAAGATTGAGATGAGAGAGAAAGGACAGAGACAAACTAATAGCCCGGTTCACGTAGGGCGTTTTTATGACATGCGTGAAAAGTCGCACTGTCAAAAGCGAGACTGGAAAAACCAACAAAAACACTTTCTCTCAAAATTCTCATCGTTACAGTTTTCAGATTATCGATTTTTCTATTTTTATTGGTTGTTTTCTCCCTCTTCCGTTACTTTCCTACATGATATCTTCTATGTCTATTTACGGATCAAATGATAGGTTATGAAATAAGTAGACGGTCAAATGATTCTACCTTGTTAGTTACACGGCAAAACAAAAATAAAGCAAAAATCTATAAATATTGGTTGTATTTCCTTCCTTTTTGTCTCTCCTTAAGAGACTTATCTTGTTATTTTTCTCTATTATACTAAAAACACCACGTAAAATTCATATAACAGTTATTTCAGAAAAACAAAAGTCAAAAAGAAGAGCGAAGTTAGCCCGTTCTTTACATCATAAGTCTCTCACAACAATTTCAAAGTACGAAAGTAAAACAGTATAAGTAGTCAAGTATACGTTGTCAAAGTATTTTCATCATTCCGTCTTATACTCTCCCAGCACATCTCAACGAGGATTCCGACGGTTCTGAATCCTCAACACCAATCTCAACTCGTACACAGTGGTATTCTCCCGACTCCCAGCCTCGACAAGCCGTCTTGCGTCATATCTCTCATTCACCTTCACCACTCAATCCGTCTCACTCTCACGATCCGTCGTCTATGCGACACACTCCTCCTCATCTTTCCTCTCCCACACAATTCTCTCGAGCTCGAATAGCATCCCCGTTGTCTCGAGCTGTTCATCGCCCTGGAAATCAGACCCTCACTCGCGCTCGACTGTTCCATTCTCAAATTCTGCGAAGAAATCAAAAGCTTGCAGAAGATCTCTCTCTCTCCTCTGATATCTTGCCTTCTAAAACTGACATCGAACCACCTGGAAATTCAATGGACACCACAGGTCAGGAAGAATCTTCGGGGTCAGGGCAAATCGGAACGGGAGGTCACGGCGGGACGGGAGGACAGGACGGACAGACGGACCTATCGGTGCAAACGAATCAACGATTGAACAATCTTGATTCCCGCATGGATCGGGTTACGACAAGTTTGGAACTTCTCATCAGCATCATGAAGAACACGGAGCCGAAGCCTCCTCCCCAACCTCAGTTGCATTTCAAACCGGTCTCTACGGCACCGTCGGCAAGCCATCCTCACCAAGCTCAGTTCGCCTTTGTCTCCCCTCAACAACCTCAAAATCCAAATCCCGCGGCGCAGGGACAGACTTCCGGTCAGCAGAATCAGGGTGCAGTTCCGTTGCCAGTTCCTTTTCCAACCGATCAAATGTTGGGACAACAGCAGCCGGTGTTGGGTGGACCCGATGGCAACAATCCGGTTTATCTCGAACCTCAAAAACTCCCGGAAATATGGTTCTCAGGCGACACGAAGCAGTTGGCTCAGTTCCTTCGAGTCATCAGAGACTTCTTGTACCCCCGACAGGTTTTCTTCACCTCTCAGTCTCGAATGATCGTCTGGATTTCGAGACATTTTGGTTACCGCCCTACCGAGTCGAAGAAAGATCCCTCTCCGGCAGAAAATTGGTACAACTCTTTAATCACTTCCAATGCCAGAGCTCAGGGAGTAGAGGCCCCTTACGCCGACTTGGACAGGCTCCCCTTTTTGCATCCGATGCTTCTCACGGTGACGGCGTTTGAAAAGGGTTTGATCGACACATTTGGCGACAAATTCCAATTAGACACAGCAAAGAAGGCGTTGGCGGCATGCAAGCAGGGAAAACAATCGGTGGAAGAATACAACGCTCAATACTCAACACTTTGCTACCAGGTGGTAAACTCGGAAGATGCACGGATTGATAAGTACGTCGAAGGCCTCAACTATGACATTATCAATACGGCAATGTGTACGGGATGGCTAGAAGAACCGACATTGGCAGGGAAGATGAAGAGAGCCTTGGACGCCTCCAGGCAGTTGGCGGCCCTTGCGCGGATCCCGAATAAATCATCGACAACGATTTCTCACTCTTCATACCCAAATTCTCAGCCATCAGTTCCTCAGCATCAACAAGTCTATCAGCACCCAAACTCATCCTCTCGCGCCCCAGACGCGATGGATATCGACGCTACCTCGACAGTCCGCGGTTCCAAGACGCCAGAACAGAAGTTCGACAGCCTTTTTCGGTCGGTTTGTTTGGCCCAACGGGTGTGTTTTCGGTGTCTTCAACGCACGGTTCCTCCGGACCACACAAACTCCTTGAATTGTCCAAACAAGGGAGTTACCCCGGAGGCGCGCAAGAAGTTCGTGGATCAGTATCGATATGCGGTCCCAGTTCAGGTGGCGGAGGTTTCATTCGGACCAAGACCACCGGGTGAAAGCATCCTTAAACCACGCTCCCTTTACTCGGTCCCCATTCCGGCATCAACCTCACACCTTGAAACCACTGTTCAACCGAGTCCTGAATTTGATTCCCTTTCGGAGGAGGTGGACGACGTGGCGGTTTCGACGGTTCAAGTTCGGTTGGATTGCTCCAAGGCGGGACGGATGCTGGTACCGGTGTCCTTCGTCACACCCACCCAGGGAACGGTCATTGCCTCGGTTTTGATCGACACCGGCTCCATGGCCAATTTCATCAGCGATAAGTTCATCCGGTCTCATGGACTTCCGACTCATGATTGCAAGAAACCGATTCGGTGTGTGGGTCTCGACGGAAGTTCAGGGGTGGGCGGGATGGTCACCAAGGATTGGTTGGGGGATATCGTGGTGTCATCTGTCGATGCTCAGCCCGTACATCTCGGCTGTTCATTCGGAGTCACCTGCCTGGGATCTGTCGACGCCATTTTCGGTCTCCCTTGGCTGGATCAGTTGTCATGGCAAGCGTCCGGCAGCGTGCACCAAGGGCATCAGTTGACTTTGGGTGATACTCAGGTTTTCGTGATCGACTCTTCTGATTTGGGAGAGGGTTTTGAAGGTAAAGTTGCACCCTTTTATCAAGTGTTCAACATATCTTCTTCCCCCACTTCCTTCTCTCTCCCTTCTGAGCTTAAGCAGTATGCTGATGTTTTTCGTCCACAGGATAATTGTACCCTGCCGCCGCATTGAGATATGGACATTTCTATCGAGTTGCGCAAAGGAGCAGTCCCGCCCTTTGGGGGACTGTACAATTTATCAGTTGTAGAGTTAGCGCAATTGAAAGATGATGAAAAACAGGTTTTATAATTGTGACTAGAACCAAAACTTAAAGATGAAACAAAAACAAATTAGACTAAGAAAAATGACAAAAGCCTTAATTTTGAGAGAGAGAGTCTTACCACGATGAGAGTTCACTTTAGTAGGTAACAAGACAGACAGGCTGAGATATAGAAGATCAAACAATGAAAAGTAGTACGCGCTGATTCATAAACAAGAGAACAATTTTAAGATAAAGAAATTTAATTAGTTGATCGATGAAAGAAAATGTGAGTCAGAAAGAGAAGAAAAGTCATATGCTTTTCTCACCAAATTGGCAAGAGCCAGGAGAGAAGGTCGATTGAGAGAGTCGGCGAGATCAACAAGGAATTGATGTGATTTGGATGAAGGTCGATGTGTCGACGTTGCCGATGAGATCAAACGATGAGAGAGAAAAGAGAAAGGAGGTAGAGGATAGCGGAGAAAAGGAGTCGGATACGGAAGGGAAAGTAGAGAACGGGAATGTTGAAGTGCTTTTGAAGGAAGGCGAGGGAAAAGGCCGAGCAGAATGGGCAGAGGTAGTCGGAACTTGATTCCGGGTAGATTTGACAAGGAGTCGATGGTAGAGTCTGCTGAGGAGTGGATGTCGAGTGGGAAAGAGGGTCGGTATTTATAGTCTGAATGTGAGTTTGAGTCGTCCGTTTAACTTGTGGTTGAGATCGGTTAGGTTAGATGAGTGTCGACGTTGTGGAGACGGGTTGAGAGATGTATTTGAGAAGAGTTGAGAAGAAGAAAAAGAGAAAGAGAAAGGATGAAACAGAGAGAGAGAGATAAGAGCGAGAAAGGAGAGCGGGGAGCGGATTGATGGTGCGCCGGGAGGAGGTGCGCCGAGAGAATTCCAACAAAAGAATATATTGATGAGCAATTAAGCAAGGGTTTCATTCGTGTCTCCTCTTCTAGTGCTGCAGCGCCAATATTTTTTGTGAGAGTACCTGGTAAGAAGCCTCGCCCTTGTGTTGATTACAGAGGTTTGAACTCGATGACGGTAAGGGATAGTTACCCAATCCCGATTCTGGGGCAGCTGTTGAATCAATTACAGGGTTGTAGGTATTTCACTAAGATAGATCTGAAGGCGGCTTTTAATTTGCTTAGAGTAGCTGAAGGGGACGAATGGAAAACAGCCTTTCGAACTCCTTGGGGGCTGTTTGAATATTTGGTCATGCCTTTCGGTCTTGCTAACGCTCCTGCTTGTTTTCAGCGCTTCATCCAACATGTTCTGCGAGAGTATCTTCATGTCACCTGTTTCGTGTACATCGATGATATTCTCATCTTCTCGAAGACCAAGACGGATCATTCGCTTCATGTCCAACAGGTTTTAGCTAAGCTCCAGCAGAATAAGCTTTTCGCTTCCCCTGAAAAATGTTCTTTTTACGCTGACAAGGTCTCGTTCTTAGGTTTTGATATCTCTCCAGAAGGAATCAAGATGGACCCAGAAAAATTGGCTACGGTAGTTCAATGGCCGTACCCTGAGAGTGTTTGCCATCTTCAGAAATTTCTGGGCTTTGCTAATTTTTATAGAAAGTTTATTCATAGGTTTTCGGAAATCACGGCACCACTCACGGGCCTCACAAAGAAGGGTATTGATGCGACATTGGGCCTTAAGAATAACGAGTGTCGTCATTCCTTTCAGTTTTTGAAATCCTGTTTCACTAAAGCACCCCTTCTAGCTCATTTTGATTTCGCAAGACCCAGGATTCTATTCGTGGACAGTTCTAAATACGCCATTGCGGGGGTTTTATGCCAACCCGACGACCAAGGACATTTGCATCCTGTTTCCTTTTTGTCTAGAAAGCTGACAGCTCGTGAATCTCTTTGGCAGGTGCATGATCAGGAGCTGTTTGCAATAGTTTCGGCCTTTTTGGAATGGCGGGCTTGGCTGATCGATACTAACAAACCAGTTACAGTTATGTCTGACCATGCCAACCTGCGCTATTTCATGACAAATCAGCGTCTCTCGGATAGGCAGGCGAGATGGGCTTCCCTCCTTTCTTCCTTCCATTTCGTGATCAAGCATGTATCAGGCCACGACAATCCAGCTGACCCACCCTCTCGAAGGCCTGATTTCATAACAGGTGACGAGGCGTTGGAACGTTCTAGGGTTCTTTTCTCATCGGATCAACAGGATTTAAGGTTGAAGGAATCTGATCTCGATAAGGACAAAGTGGCGGTGTTCGATATTCAAGACTCTTCGTCCAGCGAAGCTTCCGGGAATGACTTGGATCTGTTGGCTGACCACATGTTTTGTCAACCTTCTGTTCGCTTGCGAGAGCTTCTTCGTCACGCTTATACGCAGGAACCGCCTGAAGTAGATGATGACGACGAATCTCCGCTTCGTTTTGATCAAGGCTTTTGGTGGATGAAGGATCGGATCTTTGTTCCCCCCATGCTTCGTCCCACCATCCTTCGCGATTTTCACGACGACATATCGGCAGGACATCTGGGTTCGCTGAAGACGTTACAGAATATCACTCGCTCCATGACATGGCCGGGGATCAGGGCGGATGTTCTGTGATATACCAAGTCTTGCCTCTCTTGTCAACGAGCAAAGCACTCGAATCAACGGCCCCCAGGTCTTATGGTCTCTCTGTCCATTCCTGAGCGACCTTGGAGTATCATTGGTGTCGATTTCATTGTCAAGCTTCCTCTTTCCTCCGGTTTTGATTCAATTTTGGTTATTGTGGATCATTTTTCTAAAGCAGCTCACCTCATTCCGGCCCTTGAGACTTGGGCAGCAGAAGATTTTGCGTCGGCTTTCTTGGATCGGTTTGTTCGCTATCACGGGTTGCCCGATAAAATTGTCTCTGATCGTGGCCCGGTGTTCGTCTCTCAATTTTGGACAGAGGTTCAGCGACTTTTGCGAATTAAGCCTGCCCCATCTACCGCCTTTCACCCTCGGACGGACGGGCAAACTGAGCGGACAAACCAAACCATTGAAACCTTTCTCCGACATTTTATCTCGGAAAAACAGGATGACTGGGTTTCCCTCCTTCCCATGGCTGAGATTGTTTTCAATACTTCTACGTCGGCGTCCACAGGATACTCACCGTTTTTTGCCCAGTTTGCTTTTCATCCTAGGTTGAATCCTCTTTCAAAAGGTTCGCTTGTTCCTGCGGCGGACAATTTGGTGGAGCGTTTGTCGGATATTCAGGATTCCTTGTGCCTCATCCTGAAGCGTGCCAAGGAGGTCCAAAAGGACCATTTCGACCGACGGGTTCGCCCAGCGCCGGATCATTCCGTTGGGGATTGCGTTTGGCTGTTGCGCACCAATATTTCAACGAAACGTCCTTCCAGCAAATTGGATTTCAAGCGTTTGGGGCCTTTCAAAATTCTCAAGGATATAGGACATAACACCTTTCTTCTCTCTCTTCCTCCAGATATGAAGCGTATCCACCCAGTTTTTCACTCTTCCCTTCTGGTCCCTTACTCAGATCCCAAGTCATTCCCAGGACGAAAGGTTCCTACAGCTCCCTTAGGACACCACACTGACTCCCATCGAGACTTCGACGAGCAGGATGTGGAAACTATTATCGGTTATCGTCGCATGGGTCCCAGGAAGCATGAGTATTTGGTTACTTGGCGCGGGGGCTCTACGGCGGACAATTCTTGGGTAAAGGGTGGACTATTTGCGGAGTCCATGCACCCGTTTTTGGAACAGTTTCATGATGATTTTGGTACCGCCCCGATAATTCTTCCAGCTGATAAATGTGTTCGAATTCCTTTTTAGGGTACATGGCTAGTCATTTTGTCAAAAGCGAGACTGGAAAAACCAACAAAAAATCTTTCTCTCAAAATTCTCATCGTTACAGTTTTCAGATTATCGATTTTTCTATTTTTATTGGTTGTTTTCTCCCTCTTCCGTTACTTTCCTACATGATATCTTCTATGTCTATTTACGGATCAAATGATAGGTTATGAAATAAGTAGACGGTCAAATGATTCTACCTTGTTAGTTACACGGCAAAACAAAAATAAAGCAAAAATCTATAAATATCGGTTGTATTTCCTTCCTTTTTGTCTCTCCTTAAGAGACTTATCTTGTTATTTTTCTCTATTATACTAAAAACACCACGTAAAATTCATATAACAGTTATTTCAGAAAAACAAAAGTCAAAAAGAAGAGCGAAGTTAGCCCGTTCTTTACACGCACTGCTCGTCGCTTAAACTTTTTCACTTAAATTGTGTGTGAGACCCCGCCAAAATTTTAACGAGATGTTGTTACATAAGCGTTGCTCGTCCCACAAATTTTATTTGGGAACGAGCAGCTACGTGAACCGGGCTAATAAGAAAGAAACAATTAGTTGTTCTGGAGTTCGGGAACCCAAACCCTTTCTCCCATCCCACCATTTGATTGATTGCTCTAGCTGCTTGTAGGCCCCCACAACCCAAGTTGACCTCTCCCGGTACTTGGAGGCACACCACTCTGGGAAATGAGCAAGAAGAATAACTGCTGCTGTCGATGTCCTAGCCATGGAGGGAGACACGGGGGAAAGCTTTTGTATTGGAGGCAAGCATTAATCGAACTCTGTTATCAATGGGAGCCAAGTATTGATGCAGGCCATGGAGAATCTAATCCGGAGATTCGAAGATCCGTGCCACTGCGCTCGAGCAGGAGATATCACACTCCGGAGTCCGGAGTCCGGCCTGTTCCGGCCGGTTTCTGACTTGGATATATGTGCACAGACTATGTGTATATCCCTATAAACACATACATGTCTCCTGCCTGCTCGCGAGTCGCCAGTCTCACCACTGTCCACTCCTATTAGCCCGGTCCCAGCTTAATCAAATCAAAATACATCTCAACATTTTCTTCTGCGCTGGTCATTGGGTGAGTTTTTCCAGTTTCCTCGTCCATGTGTCAGTCGCAGTGCATCTAACTCATCCCTTAACTTATCCTTCAGTAATTAATTTAGGTATACACAGGTTTTTATCCCTTGGAGAGATCAAAGTTCATAGTCGTCCAGGTCTCAACTGTCAGTCAATCTTCCCATGAACCCAAGCAAGCATTCCTTCAAACATATCGAATAGCTACCGAATCAAACCACCAACTCCAATCTACCTTTTTTATATGCAATACATATAGGTCATAGTGTATTCAAACTCTCGATTATCAGCCTGGCTCATCCCTTCTCCTAGCCGGCACGTTCGCCCTTCGAAATCTCTCTTCCCGACGCGCCTCGGCAGACAGCTAGCTCTTCAACACGATAATTCGATCCATATTTTGACTCTAGCCGCCCTCAAGATTCTATCTCGCTACTCCGGCTAGCACAAACGCAATGTCATCCACTGATACCGCAGCTAGCTCAGCTGCCTCGGGCCTTCTTTCACAATATCAAGCCAAACTCACTCAAGTTTCGACAAGTTCTGTTTTGATCCAGCTTGGTGAGACTTTTTTCCCTCTTGATTTAAATATCTGCTGCTTAATTTTCTTTCCCTGTTCTTTTGCTTTGAGTATCCTTATGTATGAAAACCTTGTCACTTCATTAATCATCTTTTGAATTTTTTTTGTCTCACATTCCATCCATCACAGTTCTTATGTTCTGTTGCTCGGTCGGAACTGTATTGGCATTTTCGATTCTACGGCCCAAGAATAAAATCGTCTACATGCCACGCTACAAGTATAGTGCCGAAGACAAGCGACCCCCCAAGTTGGAAGATGGCTTGTTTGATTGGCTGAAACCTCTTTCGAAAGCGACTGAAAACGAATTATTGGCTCAAATCGGCTTGGATGCGGTCGTCTTCTTGCGGTTCTTGCGGATGTGTCGATGGATGTGCAGTTTACTCGCTATGCTGGCCTGTGCCCTCTTAATCCCATGCGATGTGTTCTATAACCTCAAGATTATGGATAAGTCACAACAACTGAGTACCTCATCTAATACGCTGGCCATGGTGAGCATCAGTAATGTTCGTGGATCGTAAGCCCTTTCCTCTTTTTGAGTGAGTTTGGTTATGAACATGTAAAATTAACCTTATTCTCTCTTTGGCTGGCACTTGCCCGACCTCTCAGTTGGCTCTACGTGCATGTCGTGTATGGCTATCTTGTTACTTTCATCGTGCTTTACGTGATATACGTGAATTACAAAACCGTCGTTCGGCTACGTTGGGAGTGGTTTAGAAGTCCTGAATATCAAAATTCCATCTATTCACGTTCTATAATGATGACTCATGTTGGTGTGTAAACTGGAACCTCGCAACTTCATCTTTGGTGTTGGGGGGCATTTTTCTGAAACATTCATGACTCATCTTCTCTTTCATTCTGATCCTTTGCAGGCTCAAAGCATATGTCTGATTCCGGCTTACAGAATTTGCTCTCACAACTTCAAATTCCTTACCCAACAACAGCCGTCCATATTGGACGCCGGGTTGGAATGCTTGCATTTTTGATCGAGCGTCACAATCAAACAGTTCGTGATCTTGAGCAGGTTCTGGTCACATATCTTAAGGGTGGTAAGATCTCTCCAAACCGACCAACAATCCGAATTGGGAAAAACTTTCTAGGATTGGGAGGTCGGAAAGTCGACGCGATTGATTTTTACACTGCAAAGATTAAACAGTACGAGCTCAAAATTCAGGCTGCCCGTGACGCTATCTCAGGTCGTAAACCGGAAAAGTAAAGCGGAATTTACTGTGACCTTACCCCTCCGCTCCGTCTACATCCTTCTGACAATATACTTGACTTTGCTCCAGCTATGGATTTGCATCCTTTGCAGCGGTCGCCTATGCGCATATCGTGGCTAAGAAACTTGGAGCGAAACGGATCAAGGGTGTTGCATTCTCGTTGGCACCGCCCCCGCAAGACATCATTTGGGAGAACCTGATCAAATCCGATATCGTAGTTTTTCGTCAACGGGTCATAGGAGAAGCTTTCATGACTGTCATCGCCACTTTCTACGTGATCCCGCTGGTGGCACTTGCCCTGCTGGCCAATCTAGCCAGTTTAACTCAATATGTTGGGTTTCTAAACTCCTGGTCAACCGCAAGTCCTGAAACCTTTTCTGGTCAGTCACATCTGCACTCAATATTTTTGAGAACCTTGCTAATTCTCCCTTTAATGCCCTCATTAGCTTTTGCTGGCATTGCACCTCCTCTTCTTAGTACTTTGCTCCAGTTGGCTCTGCCAGTGGTAAGTCAACTCAGCATTTAATCCAACGGCGTACAATATCTCCAACAGCAATGAGTACACTCAAGACAAATACTCTTTCCTATCTGGGTTTTATTTCTTAGATCATGAGAGCGTCAGTAAATCTTTCTTCCTTTCTTTTGCACTGATGTCATAATAATAATTTTTGGGTTGTTCATAGGCTCGCAAGGTTCCAAGCGGCCACGACCCATCAAAAGTTGGATCGCGCGGTGTTTTCAAGATATTTTGCTTTCCTCACGGCCACCCAGTTTCTCATATTCTCCTTGTTGGTTAGTTAAATTTTGTCTGTTATCTGCCTCTGTATGACTGTTATCAGCAACTGATGCTTAATTTCTTCTTTGATGAGTAACCAGAGTGTTGTGTTTTCCACCGTTGCAGAGATCGTTGTCGAAATAGGAAAAAAAGAAAGCTTTTTACGTATTCTTCAAAATTTTAACAAGCTACCTGACAAAATTCAAAGCACCTATCTTCAACAATCCAAGTGAGTATCTGCAATCCTTGATGTTTCGTTGCTTCACTTCTTCGGCATACCTGGATCTTACTCACAGTACTTTACCTTTGTTCCAGCTATTGGTTAACTGTGAGTAGCCCACTGCCAAAATTCTAAAGCAGAATGTTTAACAAAGATCTCAAATGAATATTCCTTGCTTTGTAATCATTTCAGTGGTTTCCTTTAAGAGGGTTTACCTCGGTTCTGGACCTGGTTCAGATTGTGTCCTTACTATTGGTCTTCATCCGGACGAAAGTGTGGGGTCGGACGCCTCGAGAGATACGGGAATGGACCAAGCCGCCCGAATTTGATTATCCCGTATATTCCGCAAACGTTCTCCTCATGCTATTAGTGGCCTTTGTTTGTGAGCGGAATTCAAAGGTTTACAGCTCTGGGGGAGATGGATGGATTGCTGACATTCTTGGATCTACAGATGCCCCGCTTGCACCACTTGTCCCCCTCCTGGCTTCTGCCTCTTTTTTTGCCAGTTCGTGGATCTACAAATATCAGCTCATGTACATATCCATCACAAGGTGCGAGAGTGGTGGGCGCTTATGGAGAATGCTCATCAATCGGGTGTTATTTGCTCTATGCGCAATGCACGGTCAGTTGTCAAATCTATTCATCAACAGTATCCTCTTCCATTGACGCGCCCGGATCCTGTCCACATTCAGCATTTTTATGTCTCACAATTGGGCTTCAATTAGGATGGGTAAGATATCCTGCCATTACTCTCACCAAATACCTAAACAGTATAGCTGACAGTGACAATGCATTATCCAGTTCAAGTCAATCGCTACATTGCCCCCTTTTGCCATCGTGATAGCGTTCAAGTTCTTTTTGAAATCAACCTTTGATTCCAAATTCACGTGGTACATCCCGACCGGTGCCGAATTCTCACAGGTACACAAGCACAATGCTGATGCTCGGAAAAACCGGCTGATGAAGCGATTCGGACATCCTTCCCTCCATGCTGAACTGTTTACACCCATGATCCACAAAGACCATCAATTACTTCTATCAGAAGTATATCGTGGCAGAATTGGCGATCCCAGTGAAGATCCGAAGAACCCAGGCGCTCAGCAGAACTATGGTCAAGCAAATTACGCGGGCAGGTCTGATGACAAAGCTCCTCTATCTAGTGGACCTCAGCCAGTTGTTGGTGGACTTCGATTCGCGGCCATCGCCCAGCACGACCTGATGTACTCTCAGCAACAATTCCTCCGAGAACGTGGTGACGACGAAATGTCCTTAGCATCGACATCTCTTGGTAATCTGGGACATGCAAGGGAACATTCGAATGCACCAGCCCCTCAAAATGACCTGAATATCCAAGGATACTTGGAGAACGGTCCTCGCCCCAGCTTTCAATACCAGGAGAAGGGCGGAACTGGTAGCCGCTCTGCTTCACCCGCACCACACGAATACCCTCCTGAATTTGGGAGTAACGTCAGATTGCCTTACCATCTTCCTGACGACAGCTACATCCCTTCACCTAACCCTACACATGAAGAATCACTAGAGTTTGATGGCTACCATCCCGGAATCCCTGCGAGTCGGCATTCAACATATGGAACCAGGTAAAGATGATTTATCTTTTTTCTTTTTACTCCATTGTTTCTTTGGCATCCCAAACCCTTGCTCATGCTATTTTGATGGTCATTTTATAGCCACTCAAGATCAACAAGCCCTCTAATCACCACTCGTCGGCCGCCTGCTTGAGTAGCCTCACTCGCAAGGAGCTATGATCAGGAATGCATTATGATTGAATATTTATGTGATTTTTGTTTTTAAACTCTGCCACCATCTACTCTACAAATCTCTCAGCACACATCATTTGTTTATTTCTTCCCATAAATCTGTTCACTGTAGTGTACCACATACATATGGCAGCTGCAAATCTTTGACGACAAAGCCTCTTTGAACATTTGCTGAAATACATTGTTTATATGTAGATCCTCTAATTATAGTCAGTAGAATATAAGACCAAAAAATGGAATTTGGGGAAATGCTTAATGTTGTTGTTGCTACATTTGTGCAGGTACTTGGAAAATTAATCATACAATCAGACAGACAATTCCATACTACATTGTTGCTTCATTAATTAGTCCTGTCCAGTTCATCTTGGATAATCCATGTCCTTTCATATATATATATATATATATACTAGTATATGCCCCCAAATTTGGGGAGGCGGTTTGTTTTTGCCCCGGATGTTGGGGATTTTACTTGTTTGAAGTCCTATGCATGGTGTAATAGCCTTCTGTTTTTTTTTTCTTTCTTTTTTTTCTGATTGTAAAGTCTTATGTCGGAAATGACATTGACATGTGCAACATCGACGCCGGCGTTAGAAGCCGCATGAGAAATCAATACAAAGGCTGACAGTTTGTTTGGCCCTCTGAGGCCATTTTTTTAGTTATATGTAGATATATATTTGGTTTATCTTCATGCAATTTTTGTCAAGTTTTAATACCCTTCTGATTAGCCAGTAAAATTTGCCAAAACCTTGTCAATTATCTGCCCTGCTATGGCTGGCAAAAGGCCTGCCATCATAAACACAGGCAGTTGCTGGTTATAAGCATCCAGTTGATCCTAGCTTTGGGGTATTGTGTTTCTCAAAAAGCTTGGATCCAATCCTTTGTTTTTTTTTGTCACATTTTATGGATTGAGCTTTTTGTACTTAATTGTTTCTTTTTTTTTCTGCCTCAGTTGTTCCCCAGCTTCAAAGTGCCTTTGCTCAGCCTCATGGATGACCCAGTGCTTGGTGTTGTGACATGGCCAAAGTGCTCGACTGCGACACATGTCACAGATCATGTAGATAGTCTTTATAGTTGATTTCCATTACTTTGTAATGAAAATCATCGATCTCTCGAGTTCTCACTCCAACAGGTTATGAGCCTCTCGCTGGAGTAGCTCGAAAATAAGAATAACACACCATCCTAGTAGCCGGCCATAGACGAGTCTTTGTAGTTCTTCCTCGAACAAGTACCAACCACCAGTAGCCCCCAAAAGGCGAGCCACAGTAGTCAGCCGGCGAGGTGTTTTTTTTTACCTTAACCCATTCCTATCACCCTCATATTCCCCCCCCCCCCTCCCGACTGAATCCGACTCGTGCTGTGTTCGACAAAGTCTGTGAAGATTCGCCGAGCTTTAGCTTCCAAGTTAATATTACCGAATCTGTATCTCTGTGGTGAACGTTGTAGCTATTGTTGAGATTGGACTGATCATCCATAACCACAAAGTGCGGGTAACGTATATTGACAAGGTTGAGAACCTTGGTGATCAGACACTGAACCTAAGTTCACAGCGTTGAGACCGACTACGCCGACCGAAGGCGATCCCTTTTTTTTTCTTCTTCTCCCTCACTTTCTCCATCACCCATCTAACGATATGGCCGACGATCACCGACCGGAGCTGAAACCAGGCCACAAACCCTACCCCAAACCGGCGTCCACGCTATCAAGGACAGGCCGTTCGACTCCCATCGAGAATTTGCTCCGCACTGCCATTGAAAAGCAACAAGCATCCAACGCCACTGACGCACTCCGTCGTAAGGTGGGGAAGACGTTTGCGAACATGACCGGCGCCAACCAAGGGACGTCAGGTACTTTGTCAAAAGGAAAAGGCCCCGCCCGTTCTGAATCACCGGAAGAGACTACCTTCCAACCTTGTATCACGGACAAGCCGGCGACAGCTTCTTCCTCTTCCAATTGGCGTCGGACGGACGCACCCCCACACATCTCAGACGCTAATGTGACGATGCAACTCCTGGCTGAATTGAAGGCACAACGGGACACTGACCGAATTCGCCATGATTGTGAAGATGCACGGCTTCAACAAAGAGCCAACCTAGAAGAACAAGCTCGAATTGCAAGCACCGTTGCGGCAGTTGTCAAACGGATGAATGACGACGATATTCTCAAGCCTGATGGTTCCAACCTCCGATGTTGGGAGCGAATGCTCTGCATGCACAGCATGGAACAGTTTGGCGATGCCAATTTCTTCACCCCCGAAGATGACGCCGTTGTCGACAGCACCGACGAGAAGATCGGCAGAGGCATCCTGAATTCATCCGTCCACCAGGATCTCATCTACGATCTACTTGGACTGGCCACGTCCGCCGAGGTGTTTGCAGTGCACACATTGTTTCAAAATTCCGATCCGTCAATCGTGCAGCGCAACTCAAGGCTTGGCGTGATTTCATCTCGGTGGACCCCAGCAAATATACCACCACCGCCGGCATACTCGCAGCGTTCAACGAAACCGTCCGGTCTTTTGATGAAGTTGAAGTCTCCCTCACTGTTGACAAGATGATGGGTCTGATACTTCAAACCAATCTCAAGGATCAACATCGGTCAGCGTTCGATCAGAAGGTAGAAATCTTTATGGAGACCCATGAGTGCCGAACACCTTCCCTCAAAGATCTGCTTAGACTTCTGGACTCTACACGTGTAGAACAGACTCTATCTGAAGACTCCCGCCTCGCCGAAACAACTTTGCTCCGCTTGAACTTGAAGGGCACTGACGAACTGGACAACAGAGAGAAAACTGACCAACACTCAATAGATGCAATGGCAATGAGCAAGATTCCAAAGTGCTACATCTGCAAGAAACCTGGACACATTGCCCCTGACTGTCCATCCAAGAAGCACGGATTCCAAAACACCACCAAGAACGCTCCCTCTTCCCACAGTTCAACCCGCCAATTTCCTCCATGCTCCGTGACCTACAACTTCGATCGCATGCCGTACATAAAGCCCGTCCAACCAGAATCAACGAATACCCGGCGCAATCAGCAATCACAACATGAGAACAACCAAACCCAACCTAAGCAAGTTGATGCCAAGGTCTTCAGTCCCGATATCTTTGCCGACGAAGAGGAAGACAACTATGTCTTTTAATCGGAAGAACTGTCGGCCGAACCATCAGGCAACCGCTTCAACTTACGTGAATTGACTCTAGACCATAACAGGCAGGAAGTCATATGGGACTCTGGTGCATCCGATAACGTCACTGGCGATAGGTACGCCCTACACAACTTCATTGAACTAGAACGACACATTGCAGTTCAAGTAGCCACTGACACCACCTGTGACTACATTACAGGCACGGGTACCTTGAAGTTTGCGGGGATGAACGGAACGACTGTCGAAGTTAAAAAAGTCTACTTCTGTGAGCGAGCCAGGTCAACTCTCTTGTCAATCGCCTCTTTCAAGAAAGCTAATGGCCATTTCCGTGTAAATGGAAATTTTGACTCCATTGATCTACTGTCCAGAACTGGCCGTTTACTTCTACGCAGTACTTTCGACACGAAAAGCAACACCTGGCCCCTCAATCGACCACTCAGAGCACCAGATGTTTTTCTCTCACCTACACCCCGTTCTTGTAATAGTCTAGATTCTCATGAAATAAAGCTGCAATCTATTCTTAAGTCACCAAACATCATTGAGCATAGTGAATTCACTTGGAAGACCGAGGATCTCACGGCGGACGAAAAGGTTTTGCTCTTTTGGCATCACCTGTTTGGCCACGCAAGTCTGAGAAAAATAAGAAGGTTGGTCAAGCTCCAACTAGGCTACGGCCTCCCTGAGAAAATGCCTACTGGCTCGATCAAGTGCCCAGTCTGTTGCATTTGCAAAGCAACACGCACATCCGTACTCGGTCCCTCTAACAGATGCCTTGAGCGATTATCAGTGGTTTGTGTTGATCTGATGGGTCCCTTTGACCCACCTACAATGACTGGAGGCAAGTATGCGCTGACCATCCGTGACATATTCACATCCTACAGTGAGGTGAAGGTACTCAAGACTAAAGGAGAAGCTGCAGCATCAATCAAGGATACAGTCACTCGATGGGAAAATCAAACTGGCTCACGAGTGAAGGTTTTACGCTCAGACAACGGTGGCGAATTTGACTCAAAAGTATTTGCCAAATTTCTGACAGATAAAGGCATACTGGCGGAAAGATCACTACCTTATCACCATTTCCAGAATGGTGCCGCCGAACGATACAACAGGACGGTTGCGGACATGGGTCGGAGCATCCTGTATGACAGCAAATTAGGTAAACAGTTCTGGGGCTACGCTTTCATCTGGTCATCTTGGACCCTGAACCAGATACCAAACAAGGTGACTAAAGACAAAACCCCCTATGAATGTTTCTACGGAGAAAAACCACAACTGGACTGCACGCGTGTGTTCGGCTCAAGCGCTTTCATCACTACGGCACCAGAAAAAAGGAAGAAACTCGATGAGCGCGCTGTTGAGGGTCTAGTCGTGTACCACCTACCCGAATCCAAAGGCTGGAAATTCTGGGTTCCGGAATCAAAGACGTTTGTATCATCTGCCTGGGCAGACTTTGGCCGGAACGCCTTGCCTTCTCCGCCACCATCACAGACCAACCCTTCGGTGAAGAATGATAAGCAAACACCTAGCGCGGACAATACCAAGGAGATTCCACCCAAAGACAACCACACAGAAGCCAAGGTTTTGAAACTAGAAGACTTCACAGAAGAAAGACGTGTCTGCGAAGAGGAAAGGGCAGTTGATTCCTGTTTGTCAAACTGTAGCGACTCTTCCGACGACGTTCCCAAATCTTTCAAAGCAGCCATGAAGTCCAAGGATGCAAAACTATGGAAATCCGCTGTCGATACTGAACTGGAAAACCTACGACGGAAGTGAGTATGGAAAGTTAGGAAACTCCCGAAGAACCAACGGAAACTAGGCGCCAGGTGGGTTTTTTCAAGGAAGAAGAACGATGACGGGACCTTCAAATATAAAGCCAGATATGTAGCCAAAGGCTATAATCAGAAGGAAGGGACCGACTTTGCACACACTTTCGCCCCCACCGCTACATTCACTTCCATGAGAGTACTCCTTGCGATTGCGGCAAAGAATCAGTAGAGATGGTCAAAGGGTATCCGTCGCGGATACCCGCTATCCCCTGGCGGATACCCGCCAGACACAGCGGATATCCCCCAGGGGATTCGGATCCGGGTTCGGATTTGCCCTTTTCCCGGAAATTTGGGCGGGTATCCGGATATCCCTAGGGATACCCGCCCATATAGGCCGCGGCTGTATTGCGCAGGCTGCAGCTGCGGCCCCACCTGTTGCCGCATATCCACTCGTCGGCAGCCAATACGCCAGCTGTATTGGCCGCCGACATCCATCACCTCCCTCCGTCCAACCTCACCACGGTTCCCGCTAGGAACGAAGCACCAACCTCCCCCCCCCGACGAGTAAGTACCACCTCCCCCCCCCCATCTCCTTCTTTTCCCTGCCCTCCGACGACCATCGTGCCCTCCGACGACCATCGCTGACCCCATCGGGTCTGACTCCCTCCCTCGACAGGCTGTTGATCCCCCCTGGTCCGATACAATCGGATCCGTCCACCGATCTCGCCTCGGCGCTTGCATTCCGCTCCGTGCGTCTTGGAACGACGACCAGCGCACACACAACCCCCCACCTCGTAGTTAACTTGCCGCAGGCCTCGAATCGTCGGCGATCGCCTCACCGTCGCCGACTGCGTTGCCGACTCGTCCTCGCGACCCCGGCTTATTTTGCCTGCCTCCAACCTGCCTTCCAGGTTTTTTTTTTTTTTCAGGTATGTTTCTAGTTGTTAGACAGGGGGGTCCCTCACCCTCAATGAATCATTTCATTGTTAATGATGGATGCTGACCTATCACCTTGCTGTTTTGATTTTTAACCCCTTCCAGGCTTGTTCACTGGTTCCCTTCCAGGTTTTTTTTAAAGGTATGTTCCAGGTTGTTTGACAGGGGGGTCCCTCATTCTTACTCATGAATGCTGACATATTACCTTGACTTTTTTTATCCCTCCAAGGTATGTTCTAGGTTGTTTGACAGGGAGGTCCCACATTCTTACTGATGAATGCTGACCTATAATTACCTTGCCTTTTTTTATATCCCTTCCAGGCGTTTTCCACAGGTGTGATACAGGGTGTTTGACAGGGAGGTCCCTCAGTGTTACTGATGAATGCTGACCTATTCCCTTGCCATTTTTTGTCTCCCTTTTTGCTCAGATTCTACTGCTCTCAGGCTTCTTCTGACTCATTAAATCCTTACACAACATACCAGTAAGCCATCATGTGTCATATTCAACTGCCTCTTTCCCCACATTCTTGCTGATGAAATCTTTTCTATTTTTTTTTGACATTTTTTTACCCCCCCCCCCCTTCTTCTTCACAATCTCTCCTTTTGCTCTCAGAAACAGCAACCAAATCATGGAACGTCGTTCGAAAAGGATCCGAAGACGTGAGGAACGAGATGATAACTCAGACACGAGTGATCCACCTCCCATGGAGCCCAATGAGGGAGAGTCAACTGCCTCAACGACTAACCACATGGACCCTGATTCAACGGATGCACTACGTTTGGGTAATCTACTGGGCAGATTTCTTCTTATGTTTTTTTTGGTTGTTAATTAAATTTTTTATGTAGACCATGCAATCAAGCTTGCTCGTAATCAAGTCAGCTCTGCCTATGCATCCTATGAGGTACCGACCATGTCCGATCATAAGGACAAGTATGATCGCTATATGATTGTGTGGCAATGTAAGACGTGAGTTAAGCAAGTGGCAGTAATTGTTATATTTCATTACCAAAACATATTGTCAAATAATAATTATCATCTAAGTTAACATATCATCTCAACTACAATCACTGTTACTAGGTGTTCCAAGAAGATCAATCGACCCGCACACGAGTCTTCCTGCGGTAATCTCCTTGCGCACGCGGCTCGATGCTCAAAGAAAGCAAGCAATCCCTCAGGTCACAGGACCCTGGCATCACTTGGCGTATCAGGAACAGGTGATATCGATCCACGGGAGGTTAGAGGTTTTGCCTGATTGGATAATTATTAATTCCAGACTGATGTGTTTGAGTTCCCTCAGGTTTTGCAACGATGTGTTGTCTGGTGTGCCGAGTCAGCGAAGCCGTTTTCAGCCTTGGAAGAAGACAGCATGAAGAGACTGCTGCATCCAACAATCTTGAAGAACCTTCCGAACCGAAAGATGATTTCACAAGGTATTCATATGCTCTACTTATGTGTTCAGGAGAAACTATGTGAAGAGTTAAAGGTGAGTGATTAAATTTTCTGGCTCTGATAATATCATATATCAATCAACCTTTGATTATTACTGACAGTAGTACAAACTTTGTTTTTGGGCTATTCAGATGCATGAGGGGGCCCTATATTTGGGTGTTGATGTGTGGCAGTCACCAAACGGATACGATATTATTGGCACAGTGGTATATCGACTTGTGGACGATGGCGCTGGCAATGCAAAATTGGACGCCATGCCCCTGGACTTTGTGCAGCTCAAAGAAAGGCACACAGGCGAATACCTGGCGCGCATGGTAAGATATATTGTTGAGAAGTTTGGTTTAGAAAATAGGGTGCGTATGATTTTCTTTGTCTCAATGTGTATGATTTTCTTTGTCTCAACCCCCCATGTGTAACCAATGTTTTTCACCCTTATTTCTCTGATATCTGCCCCTGTTCCTCATCTCTGTCTAGATATGTGGTATTGTTTCCGACAATGCAAGTAACAACGAGACGATGATTTCAGAGTTGGAAAGTCTCAATTGGAAACGATTTAAGGGCGAGGAGCAGTGGATCAGGTGCTTTGCACATATCGTCAATCTTATTGTCAAGGCCATCCTTCGACCCTTCGCTCGGAAGAAATCCCATGGCACGGCTGAGTATGATGAGTCTGATGAAGAAGAAGAGCATGAACTCATTGAGAGGTAAGCCATTTCATCCAAGCAAGCAACTATGACACTAGAAGTTTAATAATACTGGGAAAATTTTAGATTCAATGAAGAGAAAGAGAACAGTGACTTGGACGATGATGCCGATATCCACACTACACCTGAAGGAAACAATGATCCAGAACTTCCCTCGGACGATGAACTCACTCTGGCCGATCTTGAGGATCTCGAACCGGAAGACTCCCGAGATAACTATACTTCTGACTCGTGCCGCCAATCCCTTGCCAAGGTTAGTAACTTAGTTTCTTCATCTTTTATCTAATTATCCACTCAAGAGCCTCTTTCCCCCAACTCTGGAGTCTGAAGCATAACTAATCTCTTATCAATTTTGTGCAGTTCCGTAGAATTGCAATGAAACTGAGGAAGTCACCGAACTCAAAGGCGAAATTCATCGAGATTTGTCAAGAAACTGAATGCAAGAAGCCCCACACTATCAAGCGTGATGTACCGACTCGGTGGAACTCGACATACCTCCAACTCGCAAGTATTGTCCGATGTGAGGAAGCCATGTAAGTCTAATCATATGTTGATCCTCAATATTTAACCAAACTGACTGATTCTTCATGAAAGCATCATGTGGCAGCGTGATAAGCAGTTTGGCATACCCCGCAATTATCACCTCCAACAAGAAGACTTCGACCTGGCCGCGGACTTGGTTCAAATTCTGCTACCCTTTTACGAAATCACGCTTCAATTATCAACCAGTGCCTCAGCCCGGCTCGCCGACATCGTCGTCATGATTGATCAAATCACGTCCAACCTTGGTGCTGTGATTGCAAATCAGGTTCCCGACCGAGATCACCCTCCGGCTTTACGAAATGCTTGTCGCGCGGGCTACGCATTACAAACAAGTACTACTCACTCACTGACTGCTCACCTTTATACCGAATTGCCATGGGTAGGTCCTTTTAAATTTCTTCATCTTTCACTGTCTGACATTCCTGCCAACAACTAACAATTATTATCTCTGGATTTTCAGTTCTCCATCCCTCATTCAAGGACGAATACTTTAAGTTGGCCAAATGGCCTAAGGAATGGATCGATGAGGCAGTTAAGCTCACTCGCGAGATGTACAATAAGTGGTACAAACCTCGAAACACGGAATCAGCACCAAGATCAGCTGCAAACGGACAAGCAAGGGTAAATTTCATTTAAATTCTCCCCCTCCAATTTAAATCAACTGATCAAATTCTCCACCAGCCGCAAACTGGTGTTCTGGCAGGTCTCGGTGATGCTGCTGACGCTCAAAAGGCGGCCCCCTCAAGTGACCCCATCGACCAATGGCTCACTGGTCCCCTGTATTTGGAAGATCGGCAACCGATTGATGCCCTCAAGTGGTGGGCAGAGCAGAAACGGAGTGGAAATCCACATCACGGCCTGGCATAGATGGCCCTTGATGTCCTGTGTTGTCCAGGTAAGCAATCCAGATAGTAATTTAGTCATCTCTTGCTGATCATTTTTTCTGACATTTAACTTTTTGTATAGCAACAACGGTTGATGTAGAGCGGACTTTCAGCTTTGGCAGAGACTATGTCACCACTAGGCGACACAATCTCCACCCAAAATCTGTAAGTAGAGGCATGGCGTTGGCCTTTTATTCACAGAACAACAAGATAAAACCCCTGGCGCTCCACGAATACATGGAAAAAAAGAAGAATGAAGCTAGGACTAAGGCGAAGAGGACTGGTGGGAGTCAAAGCGCGGGTGGCAGTCAAAGTGTTGCTGTTGTAGTCCCAATTGATTGATGTTTTTTTCATTATCTTCTATCTCTATTTCACTCTCACTGGGTCATGTCCATTGTCCACAAATGTCATACATGAGTTTGCTGCAAGCAACAAAAAAATTGCCTGGGAAAAAGAAATTTGATTCTGTTTTTTTCATACTTATTATTTTGGGGAGGGTCACAGAATAAATAAAATAAATAAAAATAAAATAAAAGACAAGAAAAGAAAAAATAAAAGAAAAGTAAAAAATAAAAGAACAAACCAAAAAAAATAAAAAAAAAATGAAATTTGACTTGTGCCAACTGCTCAATAAAAAACAAGCAGCAAAGGTTTTTTTTTTCGAAAAAAAAAATAAATGAAAACAAAGGAAAAATAAAAAAATGAGGGCTTGCAGGCCGCCAGGACTTCAAAATTAGAGTTTATGCGGCTTTCTGCATCTGAAATTTCCCCAAGAACCTTTCCTTTTGCAGCCAAGGGGTCATTTTTAGCGCGGATATCCGCGGGTATCCGCGCAGATACCCGCTGGGCAGAACGGGTATCCGCCAGCGGATGCGGATGCGTGATTTCGCTGAAAACGCGAGCGGATATCCGCATCCGAGCGGATATCCGGATGCGAATCGACCATCTCTAAGAATCAGTGGCCAGTATATAATTTCGACTTTGTTGCGGCTTACCTGAATGCTCCTATTGATGAGGAAGTTTGGGTAGAGGCCCCTGAAGGACTTGAAACTGCTGACGGTGATGCTTGTCTGCTCCAACGGGCACTTTATGGTACAAAACAAGCCGCAAGATGCTGGTGGAAACATCTCAGTGGTACTCTTTCAAACCTAGGTTACACTTCCACCTACTACGACTCTAGCGTCTACACTCTGAGCAACAAGACTGATAGATCAATAATCTGGGTCCACATTGATGACGGAATAGTAATGGGTTCATCCAATGAAGCGCTGAAACAACTGGAGACTCAGTTGAAGGGCAGCTTAGAAATCAAGTGGAATGAAGGCATTTCAAGCATGGTAGGGGTAAAAATTAACAGAAGCAAAAAAGGTTTTGAACTCACTCAACCAAATCTAATTGAGAAAATCCTTGACGACGGATGGGACGGACACACTACCCACAACAAACCACTCCCTGAAGGTTTCAGCACAACTTTGGACCATAGCGAACCTGGGATAAATGCACACGATTACCTGTCCACCATTGGAAGTCTAAGCTATGTGGCTGTAGGTACAAGACCCGATATTGCGTATGGAGTCAACTACCTTGCCAGATTCTCATCTAGACCATCAACTCTCCACTGGAAAGGCCTTCAACACCTGATAGGTTACGTCGCAAGCACAAAGGAAGTGCCACTGAAGATCCACCCAAGGCCTACCGACTCAACCCCTGTGGAATGCTACTGTGACGCTAATTGGGGAGGAGCAACTTCTAGATCCTCTTACGGGACGGTCATCTACCTATACGGCTGTCCCATCATGTGGGTGTCTTGACGACTGGTGACTATGGCAAGCTCAATGTGCCAGGCAGAATATATGGCACTAGGACATGCAACCAGACATTGCTTGTGGATAAGGAACCTTCTCTTTGATATTATTGGCTGCAACTTCGTAGTAAAGCTTTACTGTGACAACCAATCGGCTGTAAAGATTGGATGTGAAGAGGCCTCCAATAAGCGGACACATCACATTGAACGGGAATTCTACGTCACCAACCAAGCACTATACGAAGGAAAGATGTCTCTGGTATGGATTCCCGGCAAAGATCAAATAGCGGATGTGCTTACTAAAGCGCTGGGGAAATCAGCCCACAAAAAATGTGCAGATACCATTCAAGGCACGACCATTTCATGACCGCGGTTATCTTACTTTTATATAATTGTCCTTCATGTCATCTTAATTTATTTTTATTTTATTTTATTTTGTTTATATATATACGTACATACAATTTCTCTTGTATCTTGAATGTTGCTTTCCTTTTCTTTTTTCTTTCTCCCTTTCCTCTTATTTTTTTTTCTTTCTTTTTCTTTCACACCTATTGTAGGTGTCTTGTTGAGGGGGGGGGGATGTTGTGACATGGCCAAAGTGCTCGACTGTGACACATGTCACAGATCATGTAGATAGTCTTTATAGTTGATTTCCATTACTTTGTAATGAAAATCATCGATCTCTCGAGTTCTCACTCCAACACTTGGCAGCCCCCTCCATTTTTAACACTTCCATTTGACAATCATGTGGGACAATTCACTCTCTCACACCTGATTGCAATGCCATCAAACACAACCTTGTCCAGAATTGGTGATAGGGCCCATGTTTATGGTCCTTCCTTGCAGTTGAAGTCTGCACCTCCCATCAAGATGCATGCAAGCTTTCTCTTCCTAATCCACCAAAATATGGGAAAATCACTTCCAATTGGCAGATTGATAGAGGTGGATACCATGTCAAATTCAGTTAGTTGCACATCAACCATATGAGAGATAACTTGTTCAATCTTTGGTCATAACCACATTCTTCAAACTCTGAGCTGGAGGGAGTAATGTATGCACCCATCCCATCATCAATGATTGATAAGTCTGAGAACTCATTCACAAATCTGTAGCTTGAACTCTCTTGATTCTCATCACAACAAGTCATGTGTCTAGGTTCCATATTGAGAAAATTAAACTGTGATTCAAGAGAACAATATGAGAAGAAAGACAGATGGAAATGACATATGTGTATCTGATTTATACATTGGTACAGATGGATAAATAAATTTGGTGCAGATCAGTTGTTTACTAATTTATCAATGTTATGGTATTTTGATTAGAGATGTCAGCAGCTACCCGGTACCCGTTTGCAGGTACCTGTTTTCCAAAGTGGGTACCTGCAAACGGGTGCTGGGTGTGGGTGTGGGTGTCAACATTGGGAAAAAAACAGCGGGTACCCACTTTGACACCCGCCCTGGGAATGATGACTGGAAGGAATTCCTTCCAGTCGATGAGGTTGTTATACCTCATCAACCCGATAGCCGGAGAGTTTCATCCTGCCTCCGGCCATCGAGGCTGACTACAGTCTCGACACCAGGTACCTGGGTACCCGCACTGGCAGACCTGGCGGGTGCATACCCAGGTACAAAGTGACATCTCTAATTTTGATGAAGAGAGCAGGATATGTTCTGGGCTTGGAGATTTCCAAGATTCTTGTATCTAGATAGTAAATTGCTAGATGGGGTGAGTGATTGTTGTAGAAATAATCCAGAATTGAGATGATAGAGACAACGGTGGGCCAGCTACGCTAACCGTAGCGTTAGCGTAGCGAAAAACCGCTACAATTTAGCGTAGCGTTAGCGCTTTTCTCATTTTCTGCGCTAACGCTACACGAATGGGGAAAAAACTTGCGCTAGTGTTTATCGTAGCGTTAGTGCGATTCCCCCCATCTGCGCTAACGCTACGTGCGCAGGGCGCAAAAAACCGCCCACTACGCTGCGCTACAGCAGTTTTTAGTGGTTTTTAGGTGTTTTTTTGCCGCTAAAAACGCTGTAGCGTAGCGTAACGCAGCGTAGCGGTGCCAGAGGCGTGCTAACACTACACCAAAAATTGGTAAGTGTTAGCGCCGCTGCGAATTAGCGTAGCGCAGCGGCCTTAGCGGCGCGCTAACACTACGCGAAAAAAATGGTGCCGCTACGCTAACGCTACATGGGCCCGTAGCGGCCCACCACTGATAGAGATGAGAGAACCTTTAAGGATTAATCTAAGATATTCTAATAGAATTTCAAGGCATAAAATAACACATGAGAGAGAGGCTAAGATGTGTCAACTCTCAAGGATCAAGGTGGTCTGGACTGATGCACTAGAAATATTGTTGGATTGCATTGTGAAAATGCGCGGTAACATCGCATGTCACATGCAATGTCACCTCGCATTTTCAAAATGTGATTGAATTGCTAGGGCTAAACATTCAATTGCATTTTGAAAATGTGAGGTGACATCGCATGTGACATGTGATGTTACCGCGCATTTTCACAATGTGATCCAACAATTTTTGTAGTGATGATGTCATTACTGAATCAGAGAGTATTAAGCTCAAAATACCAAATGTACATGATGTTGTGAGATGGTTGTACTGTAGGGGGATTCTGGACTTATATTATAAACTCTTAGTGGAAAGTTTGGACCAATCATAGTTTGAGGCTGGCTTGGAGTAATCTTGGCCTTTAATCTATTCCTAGTACCCAAATTTTATATTATTTGAGCCGGTATTTCATACACATAGCTGACACATGTGAAGATTGTCAACACAAATAAGGAGGGACCAATTGATCCAATAGATTAAATATTGTCTCAAATAGGGTCACCTCCATATTTCAAGGATAAGGAAAATCCTGTAATACTTTTACTACAGAGAAGGAGGAACCAACATATAAGATGGAGGAGCAAATTCCTCCACCAACTACAACAGAAATTCCAAGCTCATTGAGCACAATGGAGGGGATGATAAATGATCCAATGTCTTCAACAATGTTAAACACAATGAAGGAGGAGCCACCCAAGATGGCAATCTGCCTCAGCATTGGACCCCCCCCCCCCCAGTGATCACCACAAAATGCAATGACCTTGCCACCAGAAAGAGCTCCCATTCACTTGGAACCATCCATATCCAAGCCCAGTAATTCCCAGATGCCAGAGAGCAGGTCATCAAGGATAAAAAAAAGGGCAGCTTCTCCTCTGTTTCCCTGTTTCATTTTTCAGTTTTCTGTGTTTATCTATTTTGTTTTTATTTTACTTTTCTGTCATCTCTTTCTTTTTCTTAATTCTTTGTCTTAATTGGGTGTTACAGTATATAAGGATTGGGTCCTCTGATTTTTTGATTTAATTTAAAATTCATAAAAATGGGCACCAGTTTGTGATTTGCATTCAGACATTATTTTGCATGTGTTATGCCATGCAAAATTGTATATCCCTCTCTATGATTGTCTACTAAAATGAGAGAGAAATATATTTCATTGTTCCTATTAGTAATAAAGCCAATCACAAAAAACTTCTTTTTGATCTTGTTCTTCATAAGATAGCCAATAGTTGATAATGGAACCAATGTTGTATTGTACTCTAAAAATTTGGCAGTGGTCAATAGTATATTTTTTGTGATGCTATATCTTTTGCCACACTATTTTTTTGTAAATGTTGATAGTGTGCCTTGCCCGGTTGGTCACTCTTCACATGCCTGTGTCCGGCCGTCTCCGCCGTCCGATCTTGAGATTGCTCAAGTCGGATGTCTAACAGTGAACACGATTTTGTCTCAGCATTGCTCGGACTTGTTTGTCCGAGCCGTGTCATCAAAACACGGAAACCTGTATCCCGGGTTTTGGAGACGGAACTCAGCGCACCCAATTAGCCCGCAAAGCGGTTTGTGGAAGCTATGTGCCTGTTTTCTGCTGAGCCTGAACCAATGAATCCGGGTCTCAGGCCACCTCGCGGCTTGGTCAAGTTCTCCACCAGCTTAGATAAGTGTGGGCGGCATGAACCAGATGACCAACGACTCGCTGAAACAGGAGTCAGTCACGATGCCTGACTATTTAGGTCATGGACTCGTTACATCAAAATATTGATACCCGCAGTGAACAGTTGGTTTGTCACCGCTCCCGGGCAAATGATAAGCTTGGCTGACGTGTGGAAGTGGACATGTATGGACAGTAGTGGCTCGTGAGCAGCACCGGGATATTTACGATTGATCACGCCCCTTCGAGTTTCCCCACTTTGGCTGTGCGATAGCATGAGTCTGTAGTTGTGGGGTCGGATATGCTTGCCTTTGTCAAACAGTCAGCTTATTATACTCAAATGCTGGCGGTGTATGAACAAAAAACGTCTGGGCAGAAATACAAGTCAAAGCCCGGATGGACTTGCTCCGGCAGCCCCGGCCTCACCTACATCCTGATAGCCGGCAGGTATGACCGATCGGGGCAGGGTCATTGCTACCACACAGTGACATTTGAATGTATCACCTGCGGAAACAAACACATTTGCCAAGTTTTCCAAGAACTCTTCTGACCAGCTCTAGCCGGCTCAAGCTATGCCGGCTTCAAGGCTCGAGTTTTGACAAGTGGTGTGGGAGATATGTGCGGTTCAAGGATCAGTGTACAGGATTGTGAGCGTCAATGGTGCAGAGCAAAGAGCTGCATCTCTCTCTACCAGTACATATAAGTTTATGGCCAAGGGAGGTTGGAAAAGGTATATAAGCCTGGCGCTTTCTGTGTCCGTGAGTCACTCACTCAACCACCCCATCCAATCCCAGTCCCTGCCAATTGACATTATCTCAAGATGAAATCTACTACGGCTTCAATCTTCCTTGCATTATTACTCCCTGCCGTAATGGCAACTACTCATACCTTGTGTTATAACTACTTCTTGAATAAAGACGGGTGCGTCTTCTCTGCGGCAGCATCTGATCAAAGATGTCCTGCTCCAGTTAAAGAGCACAGTACTCCAGTCCAAGCGGTGAGTTCGTCGCTCTGCTTAATGGCAAAAAACGGCTCTGACATTCTCTTGCTCGTATATCTTTTAGTTTGACATGACTTCCGGTTCCAACATGCACAAGCGCAGCGAGAATCGTCGTTTGGAGCGGCGATATGACACCACTAGACCTGTTTGTCTCGTTTTGCTTCAGTTTCCTTCAAGCAGCGTGCTAATTCCTCTTTTTTGGATTGATCAGAGCTTTGCGGTCGCTGGTGGCGAAGGTGTAAGTCACTTCAGCCTTTCCTGCATGGCACGACACGCCGCTGGATACCTATACTGATTCTACTCAAGTTGTAGATCTGTGGCTTTTATAACTCTACCACCGACCCCGGTGTGTGCCTCTGGAGCGGCCCAGAGCAAAATTCACCGACCGTGGAAACCGCTGGATGGCTCAACGGGTAGGCATGAATGTTAGACCATCTCCACCGCAAGTTGCTATCCGAGCTGCCAAATCTGAAAGTTTGGCAACTGCGGCGCATTTTTAGCAGCTTGCGTCAAGTTGGTTTTGCACCGGAAGTTGCTATAATAGCAACTGGGGAATGTGAAAGGTCCCCCCCCCGGGGCAGCATAGACTGCACTCCTTATTGTATTTACCTCTTTCTCTATAGCGACCGGCCGGTACCGACCAAGGAGAGACTACACTATCCGGTGACCGGTACCTTCCATAGGGATTGTACACTGGTAAGGGTCACTTCTCTGGTGATCTCTAACCGGTATCGGTCCTCAAGAGTATTGACTCTCGTGTGACCGATACGATTTGAGATTCCTATTCACTTGTTTTGAACCGGTATCGGTCATCGGAGAGGGTAAACTCTCTAGTGACTGATACCGATTCTTGGGATCGTACATCCACGATGACCGGTGTGGTAACCCATACCTTTCCATCTCATCTATTATTTTACTGTACATTCACTGGGAATTATTATATTATGACTGCTTATTCAGATTCTACACCCTTTTTTACCTATAGTCACTCACTCAAGCCATATCTCATTTCTTACTGGTTCATTAGTTAATTGCAGTTTTAGTTTTACAGATATTATTCTTTACATTTACATTACACATTAACTACATACAGTACATATTTACAGTTTACCACATACATCATATTTTTCTCAAGTATTACCTTCTTACATATATCTCTTCACATTACATCAGTCACACTCCTTTACAAGTACTCCTTTTCACATTACATATTACATATATTTTCTCAGACACACTCCTTACAATTATGCTTTCTCATATGCCTTCAGGATAACAGTAGTACACTCTTTCACAGTCTTTATCTTTTGGGATTGTTTTTCTTTACTCATCCTCCTTTTGATTGTTTACTTTTCACATCTCTTGTGCTACATTTGTACATAGTGCTCCCATAGCCAGACTGACTGTAACCTGTGCTCATTTGTACATTGAAGTATATATACAGTCTTCTTATCATTTTTGTACACCCCTTATGCAATTTCTCCCCTACAGATATTATTGTGCCCCTCAGATAAAATCTATTTTACTTTCAGAACTCACTTTAGTGACCTTGCCCTGTTTAGGTGCTTGCCCCAGAAAAACCTTTACACACAGTGTCCTCAGAGCTCTGCTTTATTTCCCCACTCTCATATTCTCACTTCTTTCCCTGTAGGATTGACAAGGAACAACCTCATTAGTTATAGCAGTCTAAGAATTAGTTAGAAATTAGCCACACCTCTTTCTTATTCTTAGTGTAACCCTCTCTCCTCAGCATTAGTCTCAGAGGGCAGCCTCATCAGCACTCATAGCTTAACTTACATTATTAGTAGTGCAGTTTTCTATTTCCCCTCTAAGCTCTGTTCTGGTTGTTCAGAAGTTCCACACCGGTGCCGATCTTTGAGAGCGTACATCCTCTAGTGACCGGTACCGGCCCTTGAGTGTACACTTTCGAGTGATCTGGGCATTGGGTGTTGAGTTGTTTCGGGGGCGATGGGGAAAGGTGAGCGGGAGAATCACAAGAAAAACTTGTGATACTCGCGAGGTTGAGCTGCTATCCTGATGCCAAATTTGGTATCGGGATAGCAGCCGAGAGGTGAGTTGCTAAAAAATTTGAGTGTTTAGCAGCCCCGGTGGAGCTGCTAAATCAAGTTTGCGCTGCTATATTTGGTTTAGCAGCGCGGTTTAGCAGCCGCGGTGGAGATGGTCTTAGTATCATCGCAATCAATAAGCAAACTGAATTTTTCTGACTGTACTGTAGTGCGAAGACCTCCAATTGCGGGAAGAGAGTGTGAGAAGACAACTCGATTGACGGTTGATATTATTGTTTGTACGTAACTGACGCACATGACCTGAAAACTGCGCTGGCCTTCTAGATATATTCAAAGGAAAGGGCGACCCGAAACCGTGCAATTTGTAAAGGTTCTTGATGGTCAGTTGAATCACTTTTACTCCACATTAGCGTCAAATCTAACACCAAAAATGGTTTTGTCTCCTAGGCTGCAGTTTCAACACCACGAACCCTGATCCAGGATGCTTCGACATTGCTCTTACTATCAATGTAATTTGCCCTTTTTTGTGTCATTCCGATGTTGAGAGATTTTCATTATTCGCTGACTACTAATTTCTCAACTCGGGTAGCTCTTCAACTTGTTCAATCCCACCCCTGAAGAGCAGCGGGATGGCCTCATGTATGGGGGATTCACTTGGGACTTGTGCGTCAATTCATCTGACTTTTTTTTATCTCATTCGAGTTCTAATCATCTTCACCGCTATTTCTTGCGCAGTGATAACCTCAACAATACCCATACCCAACAGGCTCCAGTTTAAGGAAGTTCGTCAGATTCTGGATGCCATCAGCTTATCCGGCTTGTCTTTCCCTATCAGTAGCAGTGCACATTAAGAGGACCATATCCCTTTTCAGTTATATCTTTTTTCATCTCTGTCTTGTATCCTTCCTGTAGCGGACATGCTCATTTTTCGTTCTCCAACGTACCGATCTACATGTAAAAGACACGTCATGGCATGCACACAAGAACCCATGCAATTGAGAAAACTGGATGAACTTTTAAGTCGAGTGTGGCAAAAATTCAAATCGAGACAGACCGGAGTTAGGACAGTCTCAAGCAAGAGCTGCAGCGAGGATAAGACCGATTGAAGCTGACGGGAGCAAGTCATCAAAATAATTGCAGTTTGCCTAAATCTGGTGCATTTTGTCCATTTAAAATCATTAATTGTCTGGCAAGACCTTGGGTCATGTTTTCCCACTTTCATCTTCTTTCCATTTGAGACTGTGTGCACTCTAAATTCAAAAAATGCCACTTGATTGTTGAAACTTGAAGATGATTCACTGTGGACAGGCCCATTTATTTCAATCACTAGTTCTCCATCGGAGTAAGTATACATGCACGTTTCTGGTTGTGTGTTGGATTCTGTGATTGCTTTCAATGATGCTTAGCCAAAAACAAATGCGCCAAACTGAGCCAGAAATAATCACCTATTCTTTATGGGTCGCTGTAATTTTACAAACTATTTTTTACAAGACATATGTCTTGTAAACCAGATAGTTTGTAAAATTACATTTTTATGGGGGTAATGTATAATTTTACAAACCATCATCCAAAAATATGGGTTGCAAAAAAAAGGGTTGCAAAATATGTGCCTTAAAATTGCAACCCATGCCCCATGGAGTAGAATTTTAAGGCACATATGTTGCAACCCTTATGTCTTGCAAACAATATGATTTGCAAAAGTACATTTTTGCCTTATTTCAAGGAATTTTGCAACCATTAGTTTGCAACCCATCTATGAGTTGTAAATTATGTTTTGCAAAACTGCACAACAAGGTATGTAAAATTGAATTTTACAAACCATATTTTGCAACCCTTTCAAGCAATTTTGCAACCATCAGTTTGCAGCCCATCTATGAGTTGTAAATTATGTTTTGCAAAATTGCACAACATGGTATATAAAATTGAATTTTACAAACCATATCTTTCTAACAGCCCTCCAAAAAAAAAAAAAGAAAAAAAAGAGGGAGACAC